AGCATCGGCCTGCAGATCAGAAAGTCCCGGGTTCGATCCTGGCCAAGGGCACGTATCTCAGTTGTGGTTTGTCCCCAGCTCCAGTTGGTGTCCTGCAAGAGGTAAACAATCAATGTGTCTCTCTCACATCACTGTTTCTCTCTCTCTCTCCCTCCCTCCATCCCTCCTGCTCTATCTGAAGATAAATGGAAAAATATCCTCGGGTGAGGATTAATAATAATAATAATAATAATAATAATAATAATAAAGCTTGAAAGTAAAATACTCCTTGACCTATGGGCTGGGTAATGTGTTAGCAGTCATGAAAACAACACTAATCTCATTGTACATCTCCATGAGAGCTCTTGGGTGGCCAGGTGTATTGTCAGGGAGCAGAAATATTTTGGAAGGATCTTTTTTCTGAGCAGCAGGTCTCAACAGTGGGCTTAAAATATTCAGCATGCCTGGCCAGTGTGGCTCAATGGTTGAGCATCGATCCATGCACCAAGAGGTCACGGGTTTGATTCCTGATCAGGGCACATGCCCAGGAGGGGGCATGCAGAAGGCAGCTGGTGGATGATTCTCCCTCACCTCGATGTTTCTGTCTCTTTCTCCTTCTCCCTTCCCCTCTCTAAAAATCAATAAAAGTATATTTTTAAACAAAATTCAGTGAGCCATGTTGTAAACAGATGTGTTGTCATCCAGGCTGTGCTGCTCCATTTACAGGCGGGGTAGATTTGGAAGAATTCTTAAAGGCCCCAGGAGTGTGGGTAGAGAATGAGCTCTGACTTCCACATAAAGTCACAGCTGCACTAGCCCCTAACGAGAGAGACGGCCTGACCTTTGAAGCCAGGCACTGACTCCTCCCTGGTTATGAAGGTCATAGACGGCATCTTTCCTCAAATCAAGGCTCCTCTGCCTGCATTGGAATCCGCTGTCTAGTGCAGTCACCTTCACCCACGATCGCGGCCAGATCTTCGGAGGTGCCGCGCCGTCCACATCAGCACTGCCCCTCACTTCGCACGTCTGTGCTGTGGAGACGCCTTCTTTCCTTGACCCTCGTGGACTAACTCTGCTCGCCCCAGCATGCCTTCGGCAGCGTCACCACCTCTCAGCATCACAGAGGTGAAGAGAGTCTCTTGCTCTGGACGAGGCTTCGGCTTCAGGGAACATGCAGCTGATTTGCTCCTCCATCCAGGCCAGTAAAACATTCTCCCTTTCTTATCCTGTGTGTGCCCTGGAGCAGCGCTTTTCGTTTCCTTCGCGACCTTTCCTTTGCTCCACAACTTGGCTGACTGTTTGGTGCAAAAGCCCTACCTTTGCCCTATTTCGGCCTTCAACGTCTTCTAACTGAGCTGAATCTTTTCAGTCTTTTGGTTTAAAGTGAGACTTTCTTTCGCTTGAACACTTAGAGGTCACTGTATTAATTGGCCTAATTTCCTTTGTTGTGTCGGGAATAGGGAGGCCCCGGGAGAGGGAGAGAGGTGAGGGAGCGGCCAGTCGGTAGAGCAGTCAGAACACACACCTCATTTATCTACTAAGTTCACTGTGTTTTATGGGTGTGGTTGGTGGCACCCCAAAGCAATGGCTATAGGAACATTAAAGATCACTGATTGTAAGCAACCATAACAAATATTACAATAATAATAATAATAATACCATTTGAAATATTGTGAGAATTACCAAAATGTGACACAGAGACATGAAGAGAGCAAATGCCATTGTAGAAATGGTGCCAATAGACATGCAATGTTGCCACAAACCTTCAGTTTGTGAAAAATGTAGTATCTGTAAAGCACAGTAAAACACAGTGCAATGAGATGCCATATACTTGTACTGATTATATGGTATAGGGAGCCCTGGCCAGTTTGGCTCAGCGGTTAGAGCGTCCACCCATGGACCAAAGAGTCAAGGGCATGTACCTCATTTGTGATTTGACCTCCAATTCGCGTGGGAGGCAACCAATTGCTGTATCTCTCTCACGTCGATCTTTCTCTCTCTCTCTCTTTCCCTCCCATTCTATCTGAAAATCAATGGGAAAATATCATCATTTAGAAGGTGACGATTTTATTTTATTTATTATTTTTTAAACTCATCTTTATTGTAGAATGTATTACAGATGTCCCCCCTTTTTTCCCATTGACCATCTCCTCCCCAATCCTGCCCCCTTCTTGCCTTTCCCACATTAGTGTCAGTGTCCATTGGTTATGCATATATGCATCGAAGTGCTTTGATTTATCTTATCCTGCCCTCCCTCCCCTCTTCCCTTTGAGGTTCATCAATCTAACAACTAATTTATACTTCTTAATTCCTTCACCTTTTTCACCCATGCCCCCGGCCCGTGCCCATCTGGCAAGCAACAAAATGTTCTCTGTATCTATGAGTCTGTTTCTGTTCTGCTTGCTCATTTTGTTTGTACATTCAATTGTTGATAGATATGTATTAATTTCCACTTTATTGTTTATATTTTTGTTCTCCTTCAAGAAGACCCTTTAACATTTCATATAATACTGGTTTGGTGATGATGAACTCCTTTTGCTTTTTCTTGTCTGGGAAACTCTAAATGACATTAATTCTAAATGACAGCTTTGCAGGATAGAGTAATCTTGGTTGTAGGTCATTGCTTTTCATCACCTTGAATATCTCTTGCCACTCCTTTCTGGCCTGCAAAGTTTCTTTTGAGAAATCAGGTGACAGTCTTACGAGATCTCCTTTGTAGGTTACAAACTGCTTTGCTCTTGCTGCTTTTAAGATTCTCTTTGTCTTTAATCTTTGGCATTTTGATGATAATGTGTCTTGGTGTGGACCTCTTTGGGTTCATCTTGTTTGGGACTCTGTGCTTCATGGACTTGTGTGTCTGTTTCCTTTGCCAATTAGGGAAGTTTTCTGTCATTATTGTTTCAAATTGTTTTTCAATTTCTTGTTCTCTCTCTTCTCCTTCTGGCACCCCTATGATGCGAATGTTGGCACACTTGAAGTTGTCTCAGAGGCTCCTTACACTATGCTTATTTTTTTGGATTCTTTTTTCTTTTTGCTGTTCTGATTGGGTGTTTTTTGCTTCCTTATATTCCAAATCAATGGTTTGCTTTTTGGCTTCACCTACTCTACTATTGAATCTCTGTACATTATTCTTTATTTCAGTTAATGCATCCTTCATTTCTGACTGGTCCTTTTTTATGTTGTTGATGTTCTCATTAAGTTCCTTGGAGGTCTCAAGTTCCTGGAAGGTCTCACTAAGTTCCTTGAATGTCTTACCAAGTTCCTTGAGCAACCTTATAACCAGTGTTTTGAACTCTGCATCTGTTAGGTTGCTTATCTCCATTTCACTTAGTTCTTTTCCTGGAGTTTTGTTCTTTTCTTTCATTTGGGACGTGTTTCTTTGTCTCCTCATTTTGGCTGCTTCCCTGTGATTGTTTCTATGTATTATGTAGCATTGCTATGTCTCCTAGGCTTCATAGGGTGGCCTGTTGTTGTAGGTGTCCTTTAGGGTCCAGTGGCACAGCCTTCCTGATCACCCTAACTGAGCCCTTGAGATGCACCCCTAGTGTGGACTGTAAATGCCAAGCTGTTGTAATTGAGTCTTGATTGCTGTTGGCTCATCAATGGGAGGGATTTACTGAAGCTGATCAGCTGCAAGGACTGGCTGTGCCCACTGACCACTGGCCTCTGACTACCTTGGAGGATCAGCTGTGCAGGGGCCCCCCACAAAGAGCAAGACTTACTTCAGCAGGGCTCTGGTACCCACTGAGTTCGCTCATTGAGTGTGTCACTTGAGGAGGTAGTTGGGTGGTGGTGCTTTGATGTGACCTGAAGCTGTCCACTGGGTGTGCTGGCTCTGGGGCCAGGTCAGCCACTGCCTGTGTTCTGTCCGGGGCCACCCGGCATAAGCTACAAAGTGATCTGCAGATGGCTGCTTCTTGTGCTGGGCTTGGAGGTGCCCAGGCAAAGCCAAGTTGTGAACCAAGGCTGGCTGCTTCTAGTGCCAGGCTTGGGGCCACTTAGTGAGAAGTATGGGGCTTACTGAGGCCAGATGCTGCTTGTTTGAGAGAATTTAGGAAAATCTAAAGCAGGAGTCAAGACAGGCCGATCCTATGGTTAAGCAACTGGCAGCAGCTTGGGTGGGCCTGAAATTTGGGTGGGGCTGGGCCTCAGGGAATCACCAGGGTGGGGCAACCAGTGTGAGCCAGGTTGCTGGAGTCCCGGATATGGTGTCCATCTGCCACCCCAGGGAAGGGCTCACCAAAGGAACATCAGCCTTTGCCAGCACATCTGTCCAGGAGAAAACCCCCTCTCCAGCCCTCCTCTCGAGGCCAAACAGCTCAATTCTTCCCTGTATGTCTCTGGTGCCCCTCAAGTTGCCTCCCCTCCGAGCTTAGAGGGAGCAAGTCCGTGCAAAGGCTTTTCAAAAGGAGCTGCCTGGTGCTCCAGCCGCCTCAGCCTCCCTGAGCCTCAGTTCCCACTGGTTTTACAGCCAGAAGTGATGGGGATTCTCTTCCTGGCACTGGAACCGTGAGCTGGGCGCCTGGTGTGGGACGGGGACTCCTCACTCCTCAGGGAGGACCTTCCCAGCCGTGGTGTCTCTCCTGATTTTTACCCGCCACACGTGGGTGTGGGACAAGCCCATTGGCGCTTCTACCAGTCTCCATGTGGCTGCTTCTTTATTTTTTTAAAACCTTATTTATTTATTTATCCTCACCCAAGGACATTTTTCCATTTTTTGTTCAGGTAGAGTGGTAGGGAGAGAAAGAGAGAGAGAGAGAGAGAGAGAGAGAGAGAGAAACATCGACATGAAAGGGACACATCGAGTGGCTGCCACCCGCACAACCAACTAGGGCCGGGGACAAACTGCAACCGAGGTACGTGCCCTTAGCGGGAACCAAACCCGGGTGTCTCGGGACTGCAGTCCGATGCTCTAACCACTGAGCAAAACCGGCCAGGGCTGTGGCTGCTTCTTCAATCTTGTAGTTGTAGGACTTCCATTCAGCAGCTGAGAACATGGATCTTCTCCCCCTCCTCCCCAGATCATCTACCTGCGGCGGTTCAAGGACCTGCGGGCGCTCAGCCTCTCTGGGAACCCCATCGCCGAAGCGGAGGATTACAAGATGTTCATCTGGGCCTACCTCCCTGACCTCGTGTACCTGGACTCCCGGCGCATCGACGACCACATGGCGAGTGTCTCCCTCTGGGTCTCCCGTCTCTCTGTGAGACGGTCTTCAGGTCCCCTGGTTTGGTGGGAAGGGACCTTGAGGTGGAGAGCACAGCCACCTCCTTCCTCCTCCTCTTGCCTGCCTCTGTCGGAGCAGTTCCAGCAGGTCTCTTGTGGTCCCTGGGCAGCGTTTGCTCACGGTGGCCAGGCTCCTTCCAGGGGCTGCCTCCAGGCCCCTCACAGCCAGTATGGGGATTTCTGCCGCCTTTCACCTGGGACATGCTCCTTTGTCTCCCCGTGTTGGCTGCTGCTCTGTGATTGTTTCTGTGTTGGGGACAGCTGCTGTGCCTCGCAGTCTTGGTACGGGGCCTCAGGCAGAAGGTGTCTTGGAAGGACCCAGTAGCTCACCTGTGCTAGGTGCTCCAGGAATGTCCTTTGGGTGGGTTATGTGCATGCCCCTGTTGTAGGTGAGTCTTGATTGCTGTTGGCTCATCCATTGGTGGGGTTGACGCTTGGTTGGCTGACTGTGAGGACTGCCCCTGACCACAGTGTATGGGGGCTGTGTGGGGCTGACCCGTGGTGTAGACTTCACCCCAGCAGGGTCTGGTGCCTGCCGAGATCCCCCTTTGGGGGACCTGCTGGTGGAACTAATGGGGTCAGGCTCTCGTGTGAGCTGAATCCCACCACCAGGTGTGTTGGTTCTGGGCATCTGGGAGGGACTCTGGTTCCATCAGTGTCGGGCGCTGCCTGTGTCAGGCCCTGGGCAGCCTTTCTGGAACTACAAGGGATCCCCAGTGTGTGGCTGCCTCTGCAGGCCTGGGTGTGTGTGGGAGGGGCCTGGCTTCAACCAGGGTCAGCTACCACCAGCCCAGAGCTCGGGGTGGGTCATCAAAAGACCAGAGCAGCCCTGGCCAGTTTGGCTCAGCGGTTAGAGCATCAGCCTGCGGTCCGGAGAGACCCGGGTTCGGTTCCTGCTAAGGGCACGTACTTCGGTTGCAGTTTGTCCCCGGCCCTGGTTGGTCGTGCGGGTGGCAGCCACTCGATGTGTCCCTTCATGTCGATGTTTCTCTCTCTCTCTCCCTTCCTCTCCCTCCCTCCCACTCTATCTGTACAAAAAATGGAAAAATATCCTCGGGTGAGGATAAAAAAAAGAAAAAGACCAGAGCAGCCCTGACCGGTTTGGCTCAGGGGTTAGAGCGTTGACCCGCAGACCAGAGAGTCCCGGGTTCGGTTCCTGCTAAGGGCACGTTTGGTTGCAGTTTGTCCCCGGCCCCAGTTGGGGTCGTGTGGGTGGCAACCACTCGATGTATCTCTCTCACTTCGATGTTTCTCTCTCGCTCTCTTCCTCCCTCTCTCCTTCCCGCTCTCTCTGAAGAGAATTGCAAAAATGTCCTCCGTGAGGATTTAAGAAGTAAATTAATAAAAAATAAAATAAAAGACCAGAGCACCTCGAGATCCACTCTGGTTGCCAGCAGCTGAGACCCAATCACAGAAGAGCCTCAGGTGGACCCCGAGTGTGTGAGGTGCTGGGTAGTGGTGGGGGGCCGTGGTAGGTGGTGTCCACTAGACTGACAGATTCAAACTTGAAACCAGTGCAGGGCTGAGGGCACTCAGCAAAAGCCTCGGGTACACCAGGCTGGTCACTACCCTCCAGGTGCCCGCTGACCTCTGCAGCAGGCGGGCCCCAGGGACTCGTCAGGACAAGGCCAACATAGTTCCCCAGGCCCTAAGAGACCAAGATGGGGCCCTGCGAAGGGAGGGCTCTCCTCAGGGACAGTGGCCCCCAAGGACCCGCCAGGGAAAGGTGGGACCTTCCTACAGCCACACAGCCGTCTCTCCCAGAGATTCCCTGGGAGTCTGCACCCACACAGCCGTCTCCCCCAGAGCCTTCCCTGGGAGTCTGCACCCACACAGCCGTCTCCCCCAGAGATTCCCTGGGAGTCTGCACCCACACAGCCGTCTCCCCCAGAGATTCCCTGGGAGTCTGCACCCACACAGCCGTCTCCCCCAGAGATTCCCTGGGAGTCTGCACCCACACAGCCGTCTCCCCCAGAGCCTTCCCTGGGAGTCTGCACTCACACAACCGTCTCCCCCAGATATTCCCTGGGAGGGTACCGAGGGCCCCAGCTCAGTAGGCAGCCACTGCAGTCAAGGGGGTAGGGCTAGCGGATCTCCTGGGTGGGGGCCGCCTCTGCCCCAGAGCCACACCCCTGGGTCTCTGACACCCCTGAGGTTGCCCTCAAGAGCCCTCCAAGGAAGCCTACACCATGGACCGCACCCCTCTCTGCCGTTTTGTGTCGTCTGAGCTCTAGGAGACAAAGTGCGAGGGTCAGCACGGAGCCAGGGTCACCCCTACTCTGTGTGACCCAGAAACCACTATGAGAAGCTGACTGTTGTGCACGTACCTGACAGGCCCTTGCATCGTGTCACCTTGTTTCACCGCAGGCTGTGAGTTGTGCTCTGCTATCACCCCAGCTGGTCCCTGGACAGCTGTCCGTGAGCCGGCTCACCAGGCTCTCATGGCCAGTGTAGTCGCGCTGGGACCTGGGCCCAGGAGTCGGGCCGCAGAGCCCATGTAGGGCTCACCAGTGAGGAGGGCCTTCCCCTGCCCGCTGCCTGGTCTGTCTGCTGCCTGGTCTGTTCACTGCCTGGTCTGTCCACTGCCTGGTCTGTCCACTCTATGTTCTGTCCGCTTCCTGGTCTGTCTACTGCCTGGTCTGTCCTCTGCCTGGTCTGTCCGCTGCCTGGTCTGTCTACTCTATGTTCTGTCCACTGCCTGGTCTGTCCTCTGCCTGGTCTGTCCGCTGCCTGGTCTGTCCGCTGCCTGGTCTGTCCACTCTATGTTCTGTCCACTGCCTGGTCTGTCCACTGCCTGGTCTGTCCACTGCCTGGTCTGTCCGCTGCCTGGTCTGTCCACTCTATGTTCTGTCCACTATATGTTCTGTCCGCTGCCTGGTCTGCCCATGGCCCACCTTCCCACGTCCCGTGTTACGAGCTGGTCCCCTTTCGTTTGCTTCATCTACTTTGCAGTGTGATCCGTCTGTGGGAGTTGTCACCACTGGTCTGTGAAGCTCTGGCAGCAGGACAGGATGTCCCTGTGTGCTGGGAGCCAGGGAAACGGAGGACAGTTGGACCTGCCCACTCCTCACCAGGAGCTGGTACCTTCCTGGAAGAAAGGGGCCTGTGTGGGAGACACTCTGAGTTGGTGTGCGGAGCACCCCCGAGGGCCCAGTGGAAGCGGGGTGGGGGCTGGACCACAGCCGTCCACACTGCTCCTCCTGGGCCTGGACCCTGGGCGGAGCCTGGAGCCCGAGCAGAGCCTGGACTCCGGCGGAGCCTGGCCCCCGGATGGACTGGCTGCTTTCCAGGTCGGCAGCTGTCTGCCGGCTTTCCACTCCTTGCACCACAGCACAGCCTCCCAGTGCACCACCCCACAGCCCTCCCCTCCGTTCTCCTGGGTCCTCGCAGCTCCCACACGGCAGGTGGCACAGCCCAGTGTCCCCTTGTGCCCCGAGGAAAGAAAGACTCCTTGCACAGTTCAGAGATTTTCCTAGAGGCCTCACGATAAGTAGCAAGTGAAAGCCAAGTTCTGAAAGCGCCTGTCCACATCACTGTCCCGGGCCAGCCACAGCCTGCCCGAGCCCCTGGCCTCTGGTGCTGCAGGGGTCAGGCAGCAGGATAACTGGGCCCAACCGCAGGCCAACCATGGGCCAGGAGCAGGTTGTCGGGGTGCCTCCCAGCTCCAAGGAGCTGCTTCTGTTTCATGAAGCCACTTGTAAGTGGAGAACCTAGGCTGTGCCTGAGAGCTGATGTCCCCTCAATCCAGCCCACGGCAAGGGCAGGGGCTGTGAGCTCGGGGCTCTGTGTGGGGAGGGGGACGGGCAGGAGGGGCACAGTCGGCGGGCTGTGGTGGGTTTGGAGCTCGTCCTATTGAAGACGGAGGCCCCAGGAAAATCCTGGGCAGTTTTTCGCAGAATTCATGCTGTGCTGAGAAGGTCCGGGATCTGGGGCCTGCCATGGGGCAGAGAGACTGGAGGGAGAGATGTGGCCGGGGCGGTGGGGGCCATGGTTCCTGGGGGCGGGGGTCTCACTCAGGCAGGGCTGTGGGGACAGAGATGACAGGAGGGGCTGGATACCAGAGATTTTTAAGAACGTAAACTTTCTTACTGAAGTGTGAGTCTGTAAGGAACAGAATATAAGCATACAGGTCAATGAACAGTGAGAGATCTTTAGAAGGATTTCAACTCGTGCAGTATGAGGCCCAGGCGAAGGCATAAGACTGGACTGACTCGGGCACAGACCTCACGTCCGGTTAAAGTTGGGACGGGCCTCAGCCAGCACCAGACAGCGGCAGGCCACCCAGGCGTTCATGGCACAGACCTAGGAAGCCCCTGCCTTCCCGCATGGAGCCAACACACTGGGAAGGGCGCAGACAATCAGATCTTCCCTCAGACCGGGAAATGCCAGGAGGCGAGAGTGTGGGCTGAGATGGATGCACAGGGCGGGTTGTTGGTCATGGGTGGCTTCCCCACGGAAGTGGATTTGAGGAGGGATCCACAGGACGGGCAGGAGTTGGCTGGGTGAAGGCTGAAGCAGAGCGCACGCAAAGGCCCCGGTTCTGGGGGCAGGCCGGTGGCTGGAGCTCGGAGCTGGAGGGAAGGCAGGGGGGGGGGCAGGCAGGACCTTGCAGGTCACAGCAGAAGCTTTGCATTGCCCTGTGCCCAAGAGGAAGCCATGCAGGTGAGCGGGAGACAGGTAAGGTCAGGTGCGCACTTAGCAGATTGCTCTAGTTGCTGGGGAGCAGTGACAGACTAGAGGGGGACAGGAGCACGGGGAGGCCAGCTAGGAGGCTGAGGCAGGGGCCCTGACCAGAGGATGTGGCAGGTTAGAGAGGCGACCAGGCGGTAGCACGGACAGGTTTGGGCGCAGCCTAGGTCTGAGGAGGAAGGGAGGGTTCGGGATGCTCCCAGGCCCTGGCTTGGGTGCTGGCGTGGGGGCTAACCTCAGCGGACTCTGGGAGGACAGAGGTCCACCATGGACAGGGTGAGTGGCCGTGCTCCTGAGGCGGCGAGGCACGAGGCAGTCAAAGCATGGTCCTGGCACTCGTGGGTGGGACCTGGGCTGCAGGTGGAGACCCGAGCGTTGTCAGAGGAAGAAGGACTTTGTACTTGAAGACTACACACCTGGGGTGTGTGGAGTGAGCCCTGAAGGGGGAGGTCCAAGGCCTAGAGACCCCGGCATTCCCTGGTGGGCACAGGGGGGAGGCGATGGGCGAGGGAAACCAGGAGGTGGCAAGGCACAGAGCCAGGGGCTGAGACCGTGGTGACCAAGCCCGTGACAGAAGTGACTCACTTTACCTCTCACATTGTGCCCATAAAAGAGCCACCACACCTGCCTTGGGGGGCACTGGCCGCATGGCCCCCCCCGGAGCTCCCACAGGTCTTCTGCCTGCCGGTGCTCCCGTCCTCTCCCTCTTGGTCCTTCCCTAACCTCCCCGAGACTCAGACCTTTGGAAAGGGCTGAGACTGCCCTGGCCGGTGGCTCTGTTGTTTGGAGTGTTGTCCTGTACACCAGAAGTTTGCGGGTTCAATTCCCAGTCAGGGTACATATCTCGGATGCATGCAGGAGGTGGCTGATCCATGTGTCTCTCGCACATCAATCTCTCTCTCTGTCTCTCTCTCTGTCTCTCTCTCTGTCTCTCTCTCTTTCTCATCAAAAAAACATATCCTTGCCCTAGCCGGTTTGGCTCAGCGGTAGAGTGTCGGCCTGTGGTCCAGAGGGACCCAGGTTCGGTTCCCACTAAGGGCATGTACCTCGGTTGCAGTTTGTCCCTGGCCCTGTTTGGGTCGTGTGGGAGGCAACCACTCGATGTGTCCCTTTCACGTTGATGTTTCTCTCTCTCTCTTTCCCTCACCACTCCATCTGAACAAAAAATGGAAAAATGTCCTCGGGTGAGGATAACAAAAAAACAAAAAAACAAACACATATCCTCAGACCCGTCTGGTGTGGCTCAGTGGTTGAGCGTCGACCCATGCACCAAGAGGTCACAGGTTTGATTCCCAGTCAGGGCACCTGCCCAGGTTGTGGGCCCGATCCCCAGTGAGGGGCATGCAGGAGGCGGCCAATCGATATTCTCTCTCATCGATGTTTCTGTCTCTCTCTCTCCCTTCCTCTCTCTTTAAAATCAATAATGGGGTGGGGAGGACACCTGAAAAGCAAACAAGCATTCTTGGGTGAGAGGCTGCTTCCCAGCCAGGGGCTGGCCCTACCTGACTGGTGGGACGGCCCATGTGTCAGGCCACCTCCAAGTTCTTGACTAGTGCGGGAAAGATTTCAGGACAGAGTCCAGGTGCGAGTGAGAGTAAGTCTATTCGAGCTTGGGGAGTGAGGCGAAGGAAGGGCCCCACAGCTGCTGCCCATGGCTCCCTGGTGCAGAGCTCGCCGGACCCTTGGAGCTCAGGGCAGAAGAAGCAGAGAGCAGGCCCAGGAGGAAGAGCTCACACTGGCTCCTTCGTCCTGGGGTTTCACCTGTTGTCTGCAGGCTGGAATTCTAGGGGCGGTCCCAGGGAAGGGTCTCAACAGGACATTGGTTAGCTTTCCAGGTGTGTAGTTCAGGGTGCTGGTTAGTTTCATCTCTATCTTGGATTAGTCTGGCTCTCATAGGTCTTTTGTTATTGATCTCCCTGACTAAGGTGATTTAAACCACCTGCACTCAGGTGTCCTGCGGTGGGGAGGACAGGTGTGAACCCTTCTCAGGTGTCCTGTGGTGAGGAGGACAGGTGTAGACCCCTCTCAGGTATCCTGCAGGAAGGAGGACAGGTGTGAACCCTCTCAGGTGTCCTGTAGGAAGGAGGACAGGTGTGAACCCCTCTCAGGTGTCCTGCAGGAAGGACAGGTGTGAACCCTCTCAGGTGTCCTGCAGGAAGGAAGACAGGTGTGAACCCCTCTCAGGTGTCCTGCAGAAAGGAGGACAGGTGTGAACCCCTCTCAGGTGTCCTGCAGAAAGGAGGACAGGTGTGAACCCCTCTCAGGTGTCCTGCGGGAGGGAGGACAGGTGTGAACCCCTCTCAGGTGTCCTGCAGGAAGGAGGACAGGTGTGAACCCTCTCAGGTGTCCTGCAGAAAGGAGGACAGGTGTGAACCCTCTCAGGTGTCCTGCGGGAGGGAGGACAGGTGTGAACCCCTCTCAGGTGTCCCTGCTAGGAAGGAGGACAGGTGTGAACCCTCTCAGTGTCCTGCGGGAAGGGAGGACAGGTGTGAACCCCTCTCAGGTGTCCTGCGGGAGGGAGGACAGGTGTGAACCCTCTCAGGTATCCTGCGGGAAGGAGGACAGGTGTGAACCCCTCTCAGGTGTCCTGCGGGAGGGAGGACAGGTGTGAACCCCTCTCAGGTGTCCTGCAGAAAGGAGGACAGGTGTGAACCCTCTCAGGTGTCCTGCGGGAAGGAGGACAGGTGTGAACCCCTCTCAGGTGTCCTGCGGGAAGGAGGACAGGTGTGAACCCCTCTCAGGTGTCCTGCGGGAAGGAGGACAGGTGTGAACCCCTCTCAGGTGTCCTGCGGGAAGGAGGACAGGTGTGAACCCCTCTCAGGTGTCCTGCGGGAAGGAGGACAGGTGTGAACCCTCTCAGGTGTCCTGCGGGAAGGAGGACAGGTGTGAACCCTCTCAGGTGTCCTGCGGGAGGGAGGACAGGTGTGAACCCCTCTCAGGTGTCCTGCGGGAAGGAGGACAGGTGTGAACCCTCTCAGGTGTCCTGCGGGAAGGAGGACAGGTGTGAACCCCTCTCAGGTGTCCTGCGGGAAGGAGGACAGGTGTGAACCCTCTCAGGTGTCCTGCGGGAAGGAGGACAGGTGTGAAGCCTCTCAGGTGTCCTGCGGGAAGGAGGACAGGTGTGAACCCCTCTCAGGTTGTCCGCGGGAAGGGGACAGGTGTGAACCCTCTCAGGTGTCCTGCGGGAAGGAGGACAGGTGTGAACCCTCTCAGGTGTCCGCGGGAGGAGGACAGGTGTGAACCCTCTCAGGTGTCCTGCGGGAGGAAGGACAGGTGTGAACCCTCTCAGGTGTCCTGCGGGAGGGAGGACAGGTGTGAACCCTCTCAGGTGTCCTGCGGGAGGGAGGACAGGTGTGAACCCTCTCAGGTGTCCTGCGGGAAGGAGGACAGGTGTGAACCCCTCTCAGGTGTCCTGCGGGAAGGAGGACAGGTGTGAACCCCTCCTCAGGTGTCCTGCGGAAGGAGGACAGTGTGAACCCTCTCAGGTGTCCTGCGGAGGAGGAGAGGTGTGAACCCCTCTCAGGTGTCCTGCGGGAAGGGAGGACGGTGGAACCCTCTCAGGTGTCCTGCGGGAGGAGGACAGGGTGAACCCCTCTCAGGTGTCCTGCGGGAAGGAGGACAGGGTGAACCCTCTCAGGTGTCCTGCGGAAAGGAGGACAGGTGTGGAACCCTCTCAGGTGTCCTGCGGGAAGGAGGACAGGTGTGAACCCTCTCAGGTGTCCTGCGGGAAGGAGGACAGGTGTGAAGCCTCTCAGTGTCCTGCGAAGGAGGACAGGTGAACCCTCTCAGGGTGGGTCCTTGTGGGAGGGATGACAGGTGTGACCCCTCTCAGGTGTCCTGCAGAAAGGAGGACAGGTGTGAACCCCTCTCAGGTGTCCTGCAGGAAGGAGGACAGGTGTGAACCCCTCTCAGGTGTCCTGCAGAAAGGAGGACAGGTGTGAACCCCTCTCAGGTGTCCTGCGGGAGGGAGGACAGGTGTGAACCCCTCTCAGGTGTCCTGCGGGAGGGAGGACAGGTGTGAACCCCTCTCAGGTGTCCTGCGGGAAGGAGGACAGGTGTGAACCCCTCTGAGGTGTCCTGCAGGAAGGAGGACAGGTGTGAACCCCTCTCAGGTGTCCTGCAGGAGGGAGGACCGGTGTGAACCCTCTCAGGTGTCCTGCAGGAAGGAGGACAGGTGTGAACCCTCTCAGGTGTCCTGCAGGAAGGAGGACAGGTGAACCCTCTCAGGTGTCCTGCAGGAAAGAGGACAGGTGTGAACCCCTCTCAGGTGTCCTGCAGGAAGGAGGACAGGTGTGAACCCTCCAGGTGTCCTGCAGGAAGGAGGACAGGTGTGAACCCTCTCAGGTGTCCTGCGGTGGGAAGGACAGGTGTGAACCCCTCTCAGGTGTCCTGCGGTGGGAAGGAAGGGTCCTGTTATTTACTAGCCAGCTGCCAGTTGCTCAGCTGTGTTTGGTTAGCCATTTGCCTGTTTCCTCATTCCGTTGCCAGGGTGTTTTCCTAGTTTCTCACTAACCTGTCTGGGGGCCCTGGGGAAGTCAGCGTTCTCATCTACCCTCTGCCCACACGGGAACACCTCGGGATGGCAGTGGCCGCGTCGCCCCGCTGACAGCGCCCCCTCCTCCCCTCCCTTCCCGTCAGAAAGCGCTGGCGGCCATGAAGCACCAGTACGGCATCGATGAGCTGAAGCACCGGGAGGCCCTGATGCAGGCCCAGCTGGAGGAGGAGCAGGCCCTGCGGCAGCAGCTGCAGGAGCACAAGGTACACAGGCCCAGCGAGCTGGCGCCCCTCCACCTGCTGCGCTCCAGACTGCTGGCCACAGGGCTGCCCGCAGACATCAGCAGGGCCCGGGCCCCTGAAACCTGCCTTTTGGTTGAAAACAGATGCTACGCAGCCGCCTCACTCTGATGAAACGCAGACTGCTCTTCCACAAGGCCTGACCCTGCCCCCGCCTTGCTGTGCCTGCCACCTGCCCCAGGGCCAGCTCACCTGCCCAGATGGCGCTCGCCTCACTCCTCCGCGGGCGGGAGCCTTGCTGGAACGGTGTCAGAGCAGCCTGCCTGGTCTCCACCCCTCCAGGAAGCTCCTCAGGCAGCCAGGGCATCCAAGTCCCTCTCCGGCAGGGCCCTGGGTTCACAGCTGAGCCCCCCTGCCACCCTGCCCACGGTGGCCACCCTCGCTCCAGCCAGACCAGGCCACGTGCGGGTGCCAGGCCGCAGCCGGCCCTCCCCACCTCGCTGTCCTCAGAGGGCCCGGTGCCCCCCCACCATTCCCACGCGTGGGCCGTGCAGGGCCCTGGTCCGCTGACCCCGCCGTGCTCTGACTGTCCCACACAGGCTGCATTTGTGGAGGGCCTGGACGGCTCCTTCCTGTTCGACAGCATGTACGCTGAGGACGTGGAGGGCAACAAGCTGGCCTTCCTTCACGGCGTGGGCGAGCTCCTCGAGGCATATCCTTCAAGTTCACGGCTGCCGCCTCCGGCAGAGCCTGGCCCATGACACCAGCCACCTGGGCAGACCCCTTACCACTCTGAGCCTCCATCCCCATCTCTCTGAGGCCCTGGAGGCAACACCTCCCTGTCAGAGCGATGGACCCAGAGCAGAGCAAAGCAGGGTCAGCTTAGCCGCCTGGGATGCAGTCTGGATCGCAGGGGACACACTGAAGGTGGCAGCGTGGCCCGGGCCTGTGTGCTTGCCCAGCCAGGCTGCTGGTGGGATCTGACGGGCGCAGGCGTCTGGGGCACCGGTTCTCAGCCTGGGCACACTCCCTGCCCCTGCCGCATGCTCCGCGGTACCAGGGCCTTCTCGCTGCCCCACTGAGCGGGCACTGCTGGGTACCCACGTTTCATAGCCAGGGAGCTCACCTTGGACAGGTTGGCTTGTCTGGATTCCCACGGTTAAGCTGGGACTCAAACCCTGTTCTGTGGAGCTAAGAGCCTGGACTCGTCCCCCACTGGCTGAGCCCACAGGATGAGGCCAGCACCTGCCATCCAGGCCATGCCCCAGGTGGTCAGTCCGTTGGCTTTGACTCTAAGTTAGGGGCTCAGGATGGAACTGAGGGGTCCTGACCTGCGACTGCACCAGGTCACAGAGTGGGTCCTGTTGAAAAAACTCACCTTAAACCCCAACATTCTGAAAGGAGCGGGGCAGGGGACAGCGGGGGCGGGGCTGAGCAGAAGGTGGAGGAGAACAGGGCGCTGGGCCAGACAGACAGGCTCCCATGGGCGCTGACCCCTGCCACGGGGCCACCGGGGCTGGCGTCCAGCTGGAGCCCTGCCTGACCTCAGGTGCTCCGATGGGCTCCATGCGGGGACTCCTGTCAGGCCCCACGGGCGGGGAGGAGCCCGAGGCCCAGGCAGGGGAAGAGCTTGCCGAGGCAAAGCAGCCGCAGAAGCAGGACTTGAATCTGGATCTCCCTGCTTCCAGCCAGAGGCCCCTACCTTCGCAGAAGCCCAGTGCACCCACACACCTGAAGACAGACCCTCTGCCAAGGTGCCCTCTAGACAACATGACAGAGACAAAACACATCGCATCGGGCTGGCTCCCCTGGGTGCCCAGACCCTCTCTGGCCCTCCAGGTCCCCCAGGAGTCTCTTCTGGGGGCCTGAGCATGTCTCTGCTCTGTAGTCTCCTCCCGTGGTCCCTGCCTCCTTCCCCAGGTCGTGTTCCTGAATCCCTCAGGCCAAGGGTGGAGATGCTCCTGTCATCACACTGTCCTCCAAATGTCAACAGCCTGCTCCCCGAGGGACCCACCCCCACCACAGTGCGCTCCAAACAGCTCCACACTTCCTTAACGGCCACTAACCTACAAGAACAAATTTGTCGTCATCTGCCTAAACATTTTCGAGTACGGGCTGAAACAGCAGGAGAAGCGGAAGGTGGAGCTGGACACCTTCAACGAGTGTGTGCAGGAGGCCATCCAGGAGAGCCAGCAGCAAGGCAAGGACTGGATTGCCAAGTTCGAGGAGAAGCACCTGATGGTAGGCCCTGGCCCCGCCCCTCCTGCCTTGGGCCCGACCCTGCGGGGCCTGGCCACCAGTGGGGCTTCAACCCCTGTCCCGCTGATGACTCCTGAGGCTCATGGTCCTCGTCCCCACTTGCCAGAGCTCACACGGCTCGTGGCTGAGCCAGGGTTCTGCCTTCCACTGGCCCCACCCACCACCGCTCCTCAGCCAGCCAGGGCTGAGCCCAGCCTGGGGCTTGTGGGTCTCCTTCACCCGAACCAGCTGGAGGTTCCAGGCAACATAATCACTACTGTTCAGTGGTGTTACTATTACCACTACTGCTATGGTGGTGGCTACTATGTTTTTTCCTTCAGTCATTCATTTAGCAGACATTTCCTGAGCCCAGTTCGGTGCCCACCCTGGGAGCTGGGGCCATACTGGATGTGGCTCCTGCCCTTGGGGGACCCCATCTGCTGAGGGGTGCAGACCCAGGCCCCCTCTCTTCCAGAAAGGTCAGCTAACCTGGACGGAAGCCAGGAAGCCTTGGGGGTTTCCAGGGGCACCTTAACTCAGGCTGAGGCTTATGGGACCTAGAAGAGTTATCCGGGTGGTGGAGGAGAGAAAGGGGTTCACCCAGGGGGTCCCCAGGGCTGGCAGGAGCAGCCAGCCCCAGGCCACTCAGTCAGCCCAGGCAGGGGCCACGTGTACTTGGTGGGAACTGATTCTTTACTTAGCATCACTTTTCCTTCTTCTTTGAACGGAAGGGAGAGGGTGAGGGAGACAGAAACATCGATGAGAGAGAACATCGACTGGCTGCCTCCTGCATGCCCCCCACTGGGAATCGGGCCCACAACCTGGGCCTGTGCCCTGACCTGGAATGGAACTGGCGACCTCTTGGTGCAGGGTCGATGCTCAACCACTGAGCCACACCAGCTGGGATACTTAGCATTACTTTTGAAAACCAATTCCTAACCTGCTCTGAGTCACGGACCTTCTGAGACTCTGGGAAAGCCATGGACCGTCTTTCTCCTCACAAGTCTGTCCCCACACCCCAAGCAGTGAGCACCTGCTGCGGTGCCCGTAGTACAGGGGCCCACCAGACGCTGCCGGTCTGGCGCTCAGGTTAGACTCCCCTGACCACGCGCACTCAGAGGCGGCGGGCCGGCACCAGGCGCCAGTGTGCTTCGGCCCTCCCAGCCCCATCCTCCACCCCGTGTCTCATGAGCCTCAGCAATGGGACCTACAGGACCGACATTGCGGGGAGGGGCATCATGGGTTCGACCAGAAGTTCGCACCTGCCAGCAGGGGAGAACATTCGGCCACCGGTGTCTTTTGTTTGGTCTTCACGGGGTTTAAAAAAATTGTTAACATCCTGCCGGCATTAAAAACGGGAGGATTTCACAGAAAAGTGTGGTTGCCCTCCTCTCTGGAGGCCGTGGTCACAGGGCCGGAGAGGCGGTGGTCCCCCTGGACAGACCACATCTCCAGTCCCCGAGGCCCTGTCCTCGCCTCCTCCCTGACATTTCTTATCTTTTTTTTTTTATCCTCACCTGAGGACATTTTTGCATTTATCTTCAGACAGAGTTGGAGGGAAAGAGAGAGGAAGAGAGAGAGAGAAACACTGGTGTGAGAGAGATACATCGAGTGGTTGCCACCCACATGACCCCAACTGGGGCTGGAGACAAACTGCAACCGAGGTACGTGCGGGAACCGAACCCAGGACTCTCTGGACCGTGGGCCGATGCTTTAACCACTGAGCCAAACTGGCAGGGCTCCCAGACATTTTTTAACTGGTCCTTGTAGCCACTGGACGTGGAACACCTAGATGTCAGCCCGCTGGTTCGTCCTGAAGCCCCAGGCGGGCCCGGCCCCCTCAGCAACTGATCCCCCTGGAAAAGCAGCAGGAGGGCCAGGCCCCAGGCAGTGCTGCACCCTGCTGCTCCGTGCCTGGTCCTAGTCCTGAGGTGCTGCTGTCAGGCTCCAGTCCCTGGAGCATGCCCGCTCCCCTGCTTCCTGGGCGCTGGTCCGCATGAGGGCACCCTAAAGGGCGGCCTGGATGGGCGGCTAACCTGAGCGCTCCTCTCGGCGCCTACACTACTAGTCCACAGGGACCTGACGACACATGGATGCCACCCAGGGGCACCTGGCACTGGTGTCTCAGTGTTCCCGGGTGCCCTCAGTGCTCAGCCACGTGGAGCCCACTGTTTGGAAGTCCACAAACCACAGGCCTAAGGCCCTCGTTCACTGCCTTGCCAAGACCTCTTGTGAGCTGGTCCTGCACCCCTCCCCCACCCACTAGACAGGGCCACAGAGCACCCTCCTGGTGCCCCACAGGGGGCTGCTCAGGTGGGCCCTCTCCTGGCCTCCATTTCCTCACAAGTGAAGTGAAGGTAACCACCCCACAAAACGTAGGGGGACCAGTGAGGTGGAGCAGGGCTGGGACTCAAGGCGGATGGTCTAAGTGTAGTGAGTCACTCCCGTCATTAGCAGGCACTGGAGGTGGATCGGTAACAGGAGGGTGAGCACAGACAGGGTATGCAAATGTGCACAGGGAAGCACAGTCAGCTCCAGCCTGTGTGTGCATGCCGTTGTGTGCATGCCTGGTGCGTGTACAGGTCTGTGCACACTGTGTGTGTATGTGTGTGTGTGCGTGTCTGCACATGTGTGTGCCCTTGTGCATGTGCTTGAATGTGTTTGCATGTGTGTGTATGTGAATGAGCTTGAATGTGTGTGCATGTGCAGGTCTGTGCATGCTGTGTGTGTGCCTGTGTCTGCACATGTGTAAGCACTTGTGCATGTGCTTGAATGTGTGTGCATGTGTCTCTGTGTGTGTGCATGTGCAGGTCTGTGCATGCTGTGTGTGTGTGTATGCATGGTGTGTGCACTTGTGCATGTGTTTGAATATGTGTGTGCATGTGCATGTGTCTTTGTGTGTGTGTGTATGCTTGAATGTGTGTACATGTTTCTGTGTGTGTGTGCAGGCACAGGTCTGTGCATGCTGTGTGTGTGTCTGCACATGTGTGTGCATTTTTGCATGTGCTTCAATATGTGTGCATGTGCTTGAATGTGTGTGCATGTGTCTCTTTGTGTGTGTATGTCCGCACATGTGTGTGCCCTTGTGCATGTGCTTGAATGTGTTTGCATGTGTCTGTGTGTGTGCATGTGCTTGAATGTGTTTGCATGAGTCTGTGCATGTGTGTGCAATTGTGCTGTGCTTGAATGTGTGTGCATGTGTCTGTGCGTGTGCACTTGTGCTGTGCTTGAATATGTGTGCATGTACATATGTGTCATGTGCAGGTCTGTGCAGGCTGTGCGCATGCACGTGTGTCTGCACTTGTGAATGTGCTTGAATGTGTGTGCATGTGATGAGCATAGCATACACTGTTCTACACTTTGCTATTTTATCTGTGTAGCTTAGAGAGACTTCTAAAACATGAGCTGCTTTATATTTTAATAGTTATAAAATATTGCCTGGCGTGGATGAGCCCTACTTTATTACTCCAGTCCCCACTGGCGCACACTTAGGTTTTTTCAAGTCTCTTACTCTTTCAGACAGTGTTGTAATGAGTCACTTGGTGCAAGTGTGACCTGTAGGATGGTGACCTGGAAGTAGCACTATGCATTGCTGCTCTTACTACTCGCTGTCCAGCTGCAGTCCCCCGCCCTGCCTGCGCCCTTCGCCTGCTCCCTCGGACCAGCGGCAGTGCTCTCCCTTCTGTGCTCATCTGCTCTGCTTGGTGTGTGTTTGTTTTCTCTTCAGGGGGGCGAGCGTCGCCTGTTTCACAAACATTTGTATTTCTTATCTGTGATCTATTCTCATCATACTGCGCCCTGACCTATGTTTCTATGTAGTGTTCTTCTCTCTTTCCCTCTTTCTTCCTCTTGTAAATATTACTCTGTAGAGACACTTGGTGAATTGAAAAATTAGCTCTGTGCCAACATTGTCCAGTTTGTTGTTTCTCTTACTATTTTGTCTGTGGTGTGTTCGCATTTCGAATATTAAACTTTCTTATGTGATAGACTCGGTCAATCTTTTCTTCTGGTTATACGCAGCAAGGACTTCACTCTGGGATTTATAAGAACGGGATGGAGCTGAGTAACCGGGACGTGCAGGTTTATTGAGGGAAATACCTGCTGGGCTGCCTCCAAGTAGAGCGCAGCAGCCAGTTGGCACAGACTAAGGGTTTTTAAACTTAGGGCTGGGGTGGGGGGCTGCCCCGCCGAGGAGTCGGTCGGCCTTGATGGTCGGGGCTGGGGTCTTTCTGAGAGTTGTTCTCCTCCAGCGGCAGTTTAGGTTTGGGTGGGGGTTCAGGATACTGCTCCGCCTGCCGGAGCGATAAGCTTTGGTTTCCTGAAACAAGGGGCTAGGGGCGAGGTTAAACAATAAGAGGCTGGGGTAGTAATATAGAAGTTAAAGTTAACATTTCCCGACTCTCAGTTAATATAAGTTGGAAGGTTAAAAAAAGTTTGTGTTGATCAAAATTTTGGGTTGACCCCTAGGGAGGGCCTCTCGGGCAAGAGTGTTCTTCTGTGGCTGCTTCCTGCTGGTCTCCCTGTGGGTTGCTCCTCCTGGGGGGTCACTCTGGGGTAGGGGGCTATAAGTTTCAAGTAGTAGTTGGTGGTGGGGCTACCCTGGCAAGTTCGGTAACCCGTGTTTGCAAAAATTTTAGGAAACAGGGAAGAAGCAAGAGGAGGCATATAATTATCAATGGGCAATTATGTTAAAAAGGGGATTAGACCACCATTGGCTTAGAGGCGAGGGTTCCTCATGTCTTGTTATGGAGCCTCTCCTGTAATTTTCAGAGAGAGTTAATATTTTCTTCTACTCTACCTGATTCGTTGATATAGTAGCAGCATTTTTCTTGGAGGAAAAGGCAGGTCCCTCCTTTCTCGGCGGTGAGAAGGTCCAGTAGGGAGGCTAGGGAGACTACTGAGTCCTCAAAACCTCTTTCTAGATCCGCCTGAATTTGTTCAGTCATCTTAAGGCTGTAGCTGAGTCCAGCTCCCCCAATTCCTAGGGCGGCTACGGAGGAGAA